CAGGATGCGCAAGGGCAATAGCTCCCTATTATGACTTATCTTTAGGTGTCTCATCCTGCTCACCCTTTCTACAAAGTCTTTTTATCAAACTCTCCTCAATTGCCTATTTGTTTGTGCCTTGTGTCTTTGGCTAGGACAGAAAGATACCTGCATATAACAAACAAACTCATAGAACAACAAGGTAATGTGTGAAATCTGAGGTTATTAACAAAAATTCAGGTTTGAAAACAATGTCTGTGAAGCAGAAAGGACCTGGATTCCTCACAGTCTAAGCTACCAGCACCCATAGCTTCCCTGAGGGAGCTTCATGTCTCTGGACTCTCCTTCACGGGTGCTCATGGCTCCTTACATGCTCCACCCCAAGATGCAGTCGTGACCATGTTGACTAAGAGGGAGAAAACAAAAAAATTGCCTTTGAGAGAAGGTAGTTCTGAGCTGACTCTTACCTGAGCACCATCTTCTAGTTGAAGGTGGTGAGTAGAAAAAGAGGAGCTTTCCAGGGAGTGCTGAACACCAGAGAATGCTCTCCTAACTCTGGATAGGGGGTTTCTGCAGTAGCAAGGGTGGAACCTGTTGATAAAAAGAGGCTTATCAAGATGCTGGGCAGCCACTGTGACTTCCTGCACAAGGGGCACTGGCAAGTGAGATTCTGGAGATGTGAGACAAGGGCCTCATGAGATGTTTCTCTCTTGCCCTAAGTCCAATGACTTATCTCTTCCTCTCTCCATTTTACCCTGTCTGGTCCTCCTCCTGTGAGGAATGTTTGAACTGGAGCCTGTCACTGCCCACTGAGGGTGAGTTCAGGAAGCCCATCCAATAGGCAATGTGAGCTTTTCCATAGCTAAAGAAGAGTTTGCTTGACATTCAGGGCCCTGCATGGCCGGGGTCATCTGATCTGTTTCCATTTACTCCCAGGAGTAATGTATGCACATTAGTTTATTTCAGAGGATATAAGAATATCCTATATAATAAAGAAGTAATATGCAAATTGACCCTCACACCCTCACAAGATGGCTGCCTACAACCAGGCTGGCAGGGTGGTTAATGAGGGTTGATGAAACAACTAAACAAGCAGGCTGGGTGGGGCGACCAGGCCAGAGGGGTTTTAGTGAGGGGCAACCAAACATCTGAACAGCAGGGGAGTGGGGTGACCAGGTCAGCGGGGGTAGGGGGCAAGTTGAAGGTGACCAGGCCAGCAGGAGGGACAGTTGGGGGTAACCAGGTTGGCAGGTGGGGCAGTTTTGAGTGATTAGGCTGGCGATGGGGGCAGTGATGGGTGACTAAGCTGGAAGGGGGCAGTTGGGGGCAATCAGGCTAGCAGGGGGGCAGTAAGGGGTGATCAGGCTGGCAGGGGAGGGGTGTGCAGTTAGGAGTGACCAGGCCGACAGGGAGGGGGAAGTTGGCGATGACCTAGCCAGCAGCAGGGGGCAGTTAGGGGTGACCAGGCCAGCATGCAAAGGCAGTGAGGGGCGATCAGGCTAGCAGTGGGGGGGCAGTTAGGGACCATCAGGTCGGCAGGTAAGGGAAGTTGCGGGTGACCAGGCCTGCAGGGCAGGGCAGTTGGGAGCGATCAGGCCTTGGAATCTGGATTCAAATCCAGTTCTCTCTGGCTCTAGATTCCGGCCTCTCTCTATGCAACATGGACCTTCTTCTAACATGGGAATAGTCTGTAGTCCAATACCTCCACTCATAGTCGGAGACCATGTCATGTCTTCCGGAGGCAGGAGGAGCATAGTCTGGACAGGTAATGTGGGATGACAGCAGGACTTGGAGCTTATCATTGCTTCTGTCCCGCAACTGAGATTTCCTTTCAATGATTCAAAGTTGGAAGTCCCAGCCTTGACCTCTGGGCTATCTCAGTGACTGAGAATGTCCATCCTCCAGAAAGAAGATCGTGATTTTGGGTTATAAATGGAACACAATCTCTTGCTATAAGAGGTATGAATATGACCTGTCGTTCTCTTGTGCTGGAAATGGCCGAGTGTGTCATCTCTATGTGTACAGGAGGTACTTTTCTCCTGAACAGTGGTGTGTCTAGTGAGACACAGTTCAATTCACTCTTATAATGGATTTCTTCCTAGAGCAGCCAAAATAATAAATATAAAATACTTATCATTAGCAGTGTACTCCCACTTTAAAAAACACACACCAAACAACTACATTTTATTATCAAGGCATTTTTGATGATAGTGAGAGATTATTCCAAAAAGTGACACCCAAAAGAGAGGTGCACAGAGTCAAACAAAAAAACTGAGGAGATACAAGGAGAAATTGATCTCATTGATCCCAAACATAGAGAGAGGGAAGGAGGGAGGGAAGGAGGGAGAGAGAGAGAGAGAGAGAGAGAGAGAGAGAGAGAGAGAGAGAGAGAACCAGGAAAACCAACTATTGGCAGACGATAAGAAGAGATGGGTTTTCTTCATTTGACATCAAATCTCATTTCCAGCTTCTCTACCTTCCTCTGCATCCTGGGAGAGAGGTCTCTTTCCCTCACCAATGGACCCCTTTTCCTCTGTCTCCTGGTTGCTCTCAGGAAGGAGACACTGGCAGGTCATTGGAGGGCAAGAGGAGGGCAGGTTTCAACTCCCTGGCTCTCTGATGTCAGGCTGTGAGTTGGCCACGGTTGTGTTACTCTACCTAAGGACATAGCCCCTGTTTGGTTGCCTTTCTTATGGTCAAAATGATGACCACTGCTACAGCCATAGCCCTCGCTGTGTTCTGGTAACTTATCTTTCCCTTTACCCTTCAGCAGTAGCTCCCTTTTATGACTTGTCTTTAGGGGCCTCTCCATCTTCATCAATTTCCCTTACTCCTGCTCACCCCTTTGTACATATTCCCTTTATTAAACTCTCTTCAATTACTCATTAGTTTGTGTCATGTGTTTTATGCTGGAACAAGAAAGATACAAACATAACAAACAAACAAATCCATGGAACAGTAAGCTAATGTTTGCAAGCTGAGGTTATTAACAACAATTCAGGTTTGAAAACAATGTCTGTGAAGCAGAAAGAACCTGGGTCCCTCACAGCCTAAGCTACCAGCACCCACAGCTTCCCTGAGGGAGCTTCATATCTCAGGACTCTCGTTCATGGGTGCCCATGGCTACTTGCATGCTCCACTCCAAGATGCAGTTGTGACCATGTGGGCTAAGAGGGAGAAAACAAAACTGCCTTTGAGAGAAGGTAGTTCTGAGCCAACTCTTACCTGAGCACCATCTTCCAGTTGAAGGTGTGGAGTAGAGGAAGAGGAGCTTTCCAGGGAGTGCCGAACACCAGAGAATGCTCTCCTACCCCTGGATAGGAGGTGTCTTCAGGAGCAGGAGTGGAACCTGGTGTCCAAGAGAGGGTTATCAAGATGCTGGGCAGCCTTGATGACTTCCTGCACAAGGAGCACTGGCAAATGAGATTCTGGAGATGTGAGACAAGGGCATCACGAGATGCTTCTCATTTGTCCTGAGTTCAAGGATTTATCTCTTCATCACTCCATCTTACCCCATGTGGTCCCCCTCCAGTGAGGAATGTTTGAGCTGGAGCTTGTCACTTCCCACTGTGGGCGTGTGCAGGAAGCCCACCCAACAGGCAATGTGAGCTTGCATATCTAAAGAAGAGTTTGCATTCAGTGCCCTGCATGGTCTGGCTCATCTAATCTGTTTCCATGTACTCCCAGGAGTAATGTATGCACACTAGTTTATTTCAGAGGACACAAGAGTATATAAAAATGTAAAGACTCTCCTAATCTCAATCACCAATAGCAACCAATGTTTACAGTTCCTATTTTAACTCTTTTACAAGTTATATTATAGCTTTATGTAATGAAACCTCCTTTCTAGTTTAGACTGATTGATATCAACACCTGTGTAAACTGTGTTCCCTTTTAGCAGATAAAGAATTTAGCACACTACAGGCACTACCAGTCACCTCTCTCTCCCCAGGACATTTGTTAGCTAGATTATTTTTACATGATGTGGGGACAACCAGAGTTTTCAGCTTTAGCTCCTATGACTTCCTTTCATGTGCCCATGCCACAGCCAAATTGAGTTACATGGCATTTCCTCAAAAAGTTAACTATGAAGCATTTGAAACAGTGAGAGAAACTTATTCTCTCATTTCTGTGTTTTCCTAACTCTACTGTGTGCCTATACTGTGCCAGATCCAGGCAGAGAAGATTTGTCTGTGGACAAATGCTACCACAGGGCCTTTCACAGGCCCAATTTCTTGGACTGTGCTTATCTAAGGATTTTTTTTCCCTAAACCCAGACAACCCAATGAGATTAGAGGTAGGCCAACTCATTTATTCAAGCTTTTACCCTGTAGAATGCCCACAACCACAGCACTAAGCATGAATGTAAAGGACCTATAGTCTGAGAGAAACATAGGGTATCTTCATTTTCTATCCAATCAGGTAGAACAATTTCTGAATGACTCTTTATGGTTTTGGACAGGGGCTCTTTTTTTTTTAACTTCTTAAGTATTACCTCAGAAGCCAATAGTATACTAGAGGCTTCACCTGTATTAACCACTGATGTTTATAAAATATTTAGTCATATTTGGGACCTGGCTGAGTGCTTTTCATCCATTTTCTTATTTATTTCCCACTATGATCTTATGAGCAGATGATCTCACCATATTTTGCAGATGAATTAACTGAGGCTTGGAGAGGTGTGCTGCAGAACCAGGACTTCGGACCTGGATTTGTCTGATTTGGACAGGGATTCTTTCTGTTGCAATTAAGATTGTAGAGAAAAAGCATTAAAAAACAAAGAAATTCAGATCACATGAGAAATTTATTGGTAATGTCAAGAACGATGGAAAGGTATAATGTTCGGACTAATGCTTTCTCTGAGAGAAACAACAGCCAGGTTAAAAACAACCTATTTGAAGAGATTGGGGAATCACTGACACATTCTGAGGCTGAGGCTGAGAGAAGACTAGATACTTTCCAAGCCTGGCAGGGCAGCAGTGAGTCTCAAAGTTACTCCAGACTGATCAGGACAGAGGCTCTCATCCTTGCCCCAGACTGCTTCCCGACATGTCCAGGGTTTCCCTACGAAGGCTTTCTCCAGGTTCATCCACCTCAGGAGTGTCCTGCAGAGCCCTCTGGAGAACCAGTCTCAGGGTGTGTCTCTGTTTCCACCATTGCTGCCTGAAGGAGCCAACGAAGAAGTAAATGATGGGGTTGGCACAGCTGTTGACACAGGACAGAAGTACTACCATCATGGAAAGATCAAAGAAGAAATTATTATCATTTGAAATCCAGAATAGGACATGAAAGTTGATGCCGAAGGGCAGGCCGCAGAGGAGGAAGACCAGCACTGTGAGCACGAGGGTCATGTAGAGCCTGGTGGGCGGCACCCGGTGGGAGCCACACAGCAGTCTGGTCATCAGGGCCAGGCTGGACCCAGAGAGAAGCACAAATAATAAAATCAGCCACGTCGCAACGATGATGTCAAATACCCAACACACGGAAGGGCTGAAAAAATCCAACAGACTCCAAGAGAAATTTTTATCCAGGATGCTCAGCAGCAGGGACAGGGACCACAGCAGGGCACACGTGATAGTTGACAGGTGTCTGGGGCGGCGGCAGCGGTACCAGATGGGCCACAGGACAGACAGGTAGCGCTCTGTGCTGATGGCGCTGAGAAAGCTCAGGCCTGAGATGTAGGCAAACACTGACACAGAGATGATAAATATGTAGAATTTACTGGGGACCAAACCGAAGTAGAAAATTAAACATAGGGAAAGTATAATCTGGCAGCAGAGGAAGAGGAAGTCGGCTCCCGCCAGGTTGAGGATGTAGACAGAGAAGGCGTTCCTGCGCATGCGGAAGCCCAGGAGCCAGAGCACCACCGCGTTCCCTGCCAGCCCCACCAGGGCTATGACGACTCTCAGTAATTGCAAGATTATGAACTCTGTATAATGTTGATAAATGGCCTGATCACTTCCATTGGTTGGTGTGAGGTTGGTCTCCCAGGCTGTGACAGTCATATCCGTGCTCAGAAAGGCTTCAGTTGTGGGCCTGGGAACAAAACAAGACTTGAGCACCTGCTCTGTGACCAATGACCCTCATGGCCACCCTGTCTGTGGTGAATGGAGGCTTCCAGAGATTAAGGTTCTTTCTGAACCACACAGTCTTGGAGTCCTTTATCCTGAATTTAAACCCAGTTCTCTCTGAATCTTAGAGCCTGGGCTCTTTCTACTGCAACACGGACCATCTATGTCCAACCTCTGCGCTCACCATCCAGCCCATGACATGTGCCCTGGAGGCAGGAGGAGAAGAGTCTGCACAGGTCCTGTGGATGACAGCAGGGTCCTGAGTTCCCCAGTACTTGTGCTCTGGGAGAGTGGCTTTGTTTGACAGCAGGCTGTCAGAAGCCCCAGGGCAATCTCAGTGACTGAGAGTGGTCTACCCAGGAGGGAGAAAGGAGGTTATGACTGGTTCATCAAGGGAATGAGATCCCTTGTTAGGACAGAGTGAGGACACCTAAAGCTCTTGCATTAGAAATGTCCCAGTGTGTCATCTCTATGAGGGTAGACAGTGATTACTCTTCCCATTGTTGTGTCCCCAGGGCCTAAGTCTATGTGTGAAAACCATGGGGCTGTCAATAAAATTTTAAGCCACAAATAAATTAATGAATGAAAGAACCAATGAGGAGCCCAAGGAAAGAAGGAAATTTGGATTTAATATAATATAAAACTTTGTTAAATGAAGAATATTAAATGTAAAACAGAAGTCACCACTTTTAACTCCACCACCAAAACACACATATGTAACAAAAAGAAAATTTCATTTCTAATTATTCATTCTGTGAAAAGCGCTTTTGTATTCAGAAATATTTCTTTATGCCTGCAGGCACATCTTCCAGGTGGGAGAGGATTCAGGACTTAATTGAATTTCTCTGCATTTTAGAGGAGAAAGAAGCCATTTTGGGAAGGAGAGAGAGAGGTGGCCAAGGGTTTGAATGGAGGTAATTGCGACAGAAATACAGAAGGGGCATTACTAACTGGTTTTCCTATGATAGGTGTAATAGGAAAGCCACTCATTGTCCCTCCATGTGATTTGGAGTAGAGATTTCTTTGCAGATCAAAGCATTTGTGTAAGAGAATTCTGGTGGTGGTGGTGGAGTTAAAAAGTGCTTAATTCTATTTTACAAAGGGCTTTGGATAAAAAGGGATAAGCTCCTGCAGAATTTAGATGAGGAACATAAATCAACTCACACATAGGTGAAGAGTAGCAGTTGATGAGTGCTTACATGGTATTACCTCTTTCAATCCTCCAAATAGCCCTATGAGGCCAGTACTATTTTTACTCCCAGCTGGCATATAGGAAAAGATAAGAACAAGGAGGTTGAATGACATTCTCCAGTTCTCATGTGCACAAGTTGAAGAGCCTTGATCTGAACCCACAGATCTGTGTCAGAGTCTTTGCCCTTCCCATACTCTGCAGCCCCACTACCAGGGTGGTGTGTACAGTGCACATGGGGGGTAGTGGGGCAGGAAGCAAGTAACTCTTAGGGACAAATCTAAAATGGGAACTAATTTGTGTGTTTTATTATGGTAGAATAGGCAAATTTGGAGATTCCAAGAGTTCCTTCTTGCCTCTGGACAGACCCAATCAGTCAATTCTTGCCTGGTTCAGCCAGGGCAGGCTCACCCAAGAGAATCTTACCTGCTACCCTTGAGTCTGTAGTTGCTGGTCTAACCACTGAGTCAAACCTGCTAGGGCTTGTCTCCCTTTTCAAACTCAAAACTCAATAATGATGACTAGATTTCTCTAGGTTTTGTCTCTTTTTCTTGGTTGTTGTTCATTATTGTATCCTCGGCATCGAGTACATGTCCCTTAGAGACCATCTGCTATAATATCATCCTTTAACTCAGAAAGAAGCTGAGGCTGAAAGAGCCAAAGGCTTTCCCTGAGATCACAGGGTGAACAGCAGGTCCAATGCCAGCCCTGGCCTCCTGGAGCCCAGCCTGAGGCTTTACCACTGTTCCCTGCCTGGTTATGGGATCAGCACCTGAGGAAAATCTTCATTGAGTTCAGAACATGAGAGAGCTTCAGGGGTGCAGAAAATGCTAGTTGGTCTAAATACCTATTTCCTTCTCACTTACATTATACTTCTGAGAGTTTTAGATGAGAAAATGGATTCTAATCCTAGTTTCCATTCCTGTTTGATGGCACCATGTGACCAGGTGGTAGCCAATGGGAGGTGAGCACAAGTGATGTAACCAATTTTAGGTTGTGCTTTCCTTCCCCTCTTTTACTGGATGGAATGCTGATGAGTTTGGTAGCCTGGCGTGAGAATGAAGTCATTTCTCTAGGGCTGGGGAGCAGTGATTTGAGAGTACCAGTGCCTCATACCTTGAAATCCAGTCCAGCTCTAGTAACTTCTCATATATTACTCTCTAGAGCTACCAAAATCATAAATTTAAATTCTTAAAAATATTTGTATACAACCACCTTGAAAAATAACATACATTCCATTCTCAAGGCATTTATGATGAAAGATATTATTTTTATTTTTATTTATTTATTTTTTTTAAAATATATTTTATTGATTTTTTACAGAGAGGAAGGGAGAGAGATAGATAGTTAGAAACATCGATGGGAGAGAAACATCGATCAGCTGCCTCCTGCACATCTCCCACTGGGGATGTGCCCGCAACCCAGGTACATGCCCTTGACCGGAATCGAACCTGGGACCCTTCAGTCCGCAGGCCGACGCTCTATCCACTGAGCCAAACCGGTTTCGGCATGAAAGATATTATTTTTAATATGTGACACCCAATAGGGGGGTGCCAACAGATCAAACAAATGAGATTTAATAACAAGTTGATCTAATCACAGTGAGCGAGAAAAAGTCCCAGGAAAAGCAACTAAGAAGAGGCTATAAGAAAAACGGATTCTCTTCATTTGATGTCAAATTTCATTTCCAGTTCTCTACTCTCCGCTGCATTCTGGGAGGACACAACTCAGTCTCACCACTGGGCTCCCTTTCCCTCTGGCTCCTGGTGCTCTCAGGAAAGGGTGACACTGACAGCTGATGGAGGGCAGGAGGAGGTGATGAGGTTT